CTGTCAGGCTCTGGTTTACCCATAGAGAAACTCAACAACGCTTGAGTATTAAAACTGAGAAGATAAAGCAGTTCATTGACTGATTTATTTCATAATGTCCCTGATGGTTTGCAGCGCCCCAGTGCACGTGTGGCCGCTAACATGCTTCACATCAGCCTGTGGGGCAAGCGTGTGTTGGCCAGCTTGGATCGGGTCAGAACGGATGAGCTGAAGGACTGGCTGCTGTGTCAGTCTGCTGTGGTGCTGCTGAAGGGTCGAGGGTCCGGCGGGAGATCCGTGGAAGCCGAACTCCAGAGATGCTTCCTCGCCAACATAGACCTGGAGGACCTCCGCGCCGCAGTCAGCTTCCTCATGTACGGACAAGAGCAGTGGAAATCCCTGCTAGCGCACTACACTGTGTGTGAGTGAGTGTTTACTAGAGAAATAAGCACAGCTTTAATTTTTTTGTAGATTGTGGAAGCACTTTAATTTTAATGTCCATCACTGACATATTTTGAAATGATGGCAGTTTATGCATTTGCACTTTTCACTATATATATATACACATTAAGAATACTTTATGCTGTTGATGACTCTTTAGAATAACAGCTTAAACCAGGTACAAATTCATGCATAATGTAATGTATTAATATTCACAGTATATCGCTTAAAAAAGTAGGCAAATGAATGCAGAATAAATTATACAGTTGGTGTTTTTCTGACAGGATATTCAATACAAATTTGATTTGAACTTTTGGTAACTGATTGCATCATGAAATGTGTTACTGGAGCAGAGTTGGTTGGAGGGAGGGGTTGAAAAAGCAATTGGGATTTGTGATGTCACTTGAGAGATTGAGCAAGTGATTATATTTGGATGAATTTGCTATTACAATCTTTGGAATAACTTGTTTAGATGAATTGTATAATATTGTGCATGTGCATTAAAATTAAACAGGGTGAATTTTGAATGCACGTTGACTTCATGGTACATAGCCTGGAAAGGAGATAAATGGCAAAAACAATAAAGAATTTGAATAGTATTGAAATAATGTGTTGATTTGCATGTGGCAATAAAACAGTTTGGCGATAAATTACATGTTAATATTTACACTGCAGTATATTATCATTGTGATATTTGCATTACTTTGGAATAAATTGCATTGCACAAGAGGAATGGGTATAGTGCACCAGTCCTCGCAGAAATGCATATGACAATATATATATAGAGAGAGAAATGTAATTTATTGCTCACATTGCAGAAAAACGTGATTATCCTAAAATAGTCATTTCAAAGTATATTTTTTTCTTTTGAAATATGACCTGTTTTTGACAGATTTTGTCAACAAAGCTGCATAAATAAAAGTAGTTTGTATTTAATAATGATAGTTATTATCATTATTATTATTGTTAATAATAATAATGCACATTCAATTCTTGTCATCTTTTGTTTTGACGTTTTAGTGGTTTCAAAATGCAGAAATAAAACGAATTAAAAATCATTTTTGCATAACAGTTATCGGTTGGACTTGGACATAAAAATAATCAGTATCGTTCATTAAAATGTCATTCATAATGTAGTATGCATACTATACCCATTCCTAGTAGGAGCAGTAGGGAGTATGATTGGGGAAAACAACACAGAGTCCAGCCTCTCATCGCGCCAGGAGCGAAAGTCAAAGTACATTTTGAATCTCTTGAACTAATAGCGACAGATAAAACTGCGTTTATACATTTGCGAAACCTTTCCGTTAAGAAGACGGGCTCTGCGCTCGGTTGTTTGCACAGGCGGGGTGTTGCGTTGCTCTCTTCTTTGGTGTCACGCTAAGCTGATCATGCTTTCTTCGATCAAAATCGTTAGTAAAACTCGAGCAGTCTTTGGTGGATCTCGGGGTTTTAAAGCGTGTGCTTCTCAGACACTCGTAAAACAGGGAAACTTTGACGGGGATCAGAGCAATGCGTCTTGCACGCGCCGAATGTCCGGGAACGGCTTCAATGTCCCGCCGAGCGCGGAGTTTGTGGCGAGGGTCAGCGGGATCGCCACTATGTGCAAACTACCGTTTCAGAAAACAGCGCACGGGCTGGACGCGGCGTTTGTCGGGGTTCCCATTGACACCGGAACATCCAACCGTCCCGGTGCAAGGTAATACTGAACATTCATATATCACACACAGTCATGAGTGCCACAAAAATGTCTGCGACAGTTTGGCATTGTGTAATATGAATACACAGAAATTGTATCTGGTGCCCAAACCTGGTCGGGTTCAGTTCCAACCCTGATCATAATGATCACATGCTCCTTCAGATCCTAATTACTTGGTAAATCATACATTTTATAGATTTTATATTTTTTAAATATAATTTTATAGCATTTCATATTTTCAAAAAATTACTAAAAATAATTTAAATATTAATAAAATGTAATAAAGAATTGTAATTCAGTTTTAATATTTGTATTTAGATATATGCTTATATAAATATATATATATATATATATATATGTCATGTTTTTTTTATATATAT